TCATGGATGGGGACAAAAGAAGGAGATAATTGGGCTTCCTTTGAGCCAAGAAGGACAACAGATAGGGTCAAAGTTTGAGGTCAGTCGGACTGACTGTGGGCTCAGGTCTAGGCCGAGTGAGGAAGGGCTCCATCATTTTCAAGAAACTGGTGGGCCGATCCCTTTTGTGAGAGTTGGGCTTCGCCTGGCCTGTGATTTGAAGATTGACATGGAAAAAAGGAAAGGTGGGTTTATGTGCTTAGCTGGTGGGCTTTTAAAGGAACATAACCCACGAATAACAAAGGAAGTGATTGGGCTAGCCTCAAGAAGGAAGTTTGAAGGCCTAGATGAGTTGGTGCTTAAGGATGGGTTCTGGTACAAGGAAGCATCTTTGGAGTGCTTAAATTATTGGATAGTGAAGCCAATGAAAGAAGAGCTATCGAAGCTCGAATTTGCCAAGGAAGCGAAGGGTGGGCCCATAGAAGTGAAATTCGAAGAGTTGGACTGGCAAAAGAGATTAATGCAAGAAGCCCAAGTCGAGTCGGAGCATGATTGGAAGAAAAGGAAACGCGAGACGTGGAAGAGTCAAGGCACAAGGTGCACAGACGACGTGGGAAAGTGGGTCGAGTCTTTCAACCTTGAGGACAAGGTTGGTCTCAAGGGGGAGGATATGATGGAAACCCTATTCTTGGGATTTATCATAATAATAATTATTACTATAATTAGGATATTATTAGATATGGTAGTAGTCATTGAGTCATATTAGGATAGTCTATTAGGTTTTTACGGTCTTTAGCTATAAATATGTACTTGGCGTTTTATTCATGGGCAAACAAGAAGAATGATAAGAAACTCTTCCTAAACCCTATTCTCCTAATCCTCTCAATTCTCGTTCACAATCCCTCTAAAGGCCTAGGCCGATTCTCTATCTTTCTCTTCTCAAATCCCTAGTTTTGTTCTTAATCCCTAAATCCCCAATTCCCGATAGAACCCTAATCCCAGGTTCTATCACACCAACTTTCACATTAAGGTATGGTCTAGCCTCTGAGGCAGTTTCTAAAGTAACTGTCTGTATAGACAATTGCTTTACTTGAGTGATGAACGTAGGAGCGATATTCTTGCACAACTACCACGTTGAAGAGTTGGTTGACTTGTCACTGGAGACGATGAGTTCTCTGACCATGGCTAAGTAGTCCAGCCACCAGAGTCTAGAATTCTCGTAGCCCTAGTAGAAACGCTTGATAGTGGATCTGCACCCTCTTTCTCCAAAACCTTTGATCTCAACACTGGTTTCATCAAAAGTTGGTGAAACTTCTTAAAATTGTTTTCATTTATCTCGCAAATCTCATCCAGTTGATTCAAACGTCGATTTAGGAGAGTATGGAAACAATCAAGTCGAGATGCAATTTGTTTTGTGTATCCCACCTCCTCCATTAATTATATTTCTACCACCAGTGACTGGTGGAGAGACAAAGTGGTGGTGCTTACACCCACACATGGCGCCGGTGATGGCTGACCTCTCTCCCCACCATTATTTTCGGCATCACTTTTTGCTATTTGGCCAAGATCATACCTCACCACTAGCTCTTTTACAAACCCAGGTGGAAGATCACCTTCTTGTTCTCTCAGTCGTGGAGCCAATCAAACAAACAGTTGTCCCATCAGGTGTGCCAATTTATTTTCTAGAGAGGAAAACTTGAGTGTTTGATATTAATTATTGCACCTTTAACTTCTTGAACAACAAAGATCAACATGGTTCTCTCCTCTTAGAACAATGTTGAACGAGGGTGTTTGATGGTTTTTTAGGAACAAGCTAAGTTAATTACACCTACTCCCATAGAGGTTCAGCGAGAGCTCCAAAAACTAAGGTTATGGCTAATTTGCAAAGAAAAGATAAAAGTTTAACATTGTGTGTCAAATGTTTGGTTGTGGAACCAGTGCTTCGTCATCGTTAATTTCTCCTATTTATAGTCATTCGTTGTAACCGCCATGTAACTGACTCTTGTAACCGTCACCTCCCATGCTTGGTGGTTGATGTAGGTTGCTTGATGTCTTAACCGCCTGGCTTGCCTGATGATCACTTGGTATCTTGATGGATTGATGACTTCACTTGGCAAGTAGCCACCTTGTGTCGTGGAGGTATCTCGCTTGTCTTCATCTTGATGTTTGATGCCTTCATGGTACTCATGCTGACCACCCTTGCATGACGTTCTGCTTAGCACCAAGATACTTGGAGGGTTGATGGATGCATACTGACCCCCTTTGGGGTGACATCATGCTTGTACATGGGCGCTGGGCCGTGCTTGGGCCGGCACGACACGGGCACGCTTCAGGCCCATTTATTTTGTGCCGTGCTTGGCACGACCCGTAAGTTTTTGTGTCATGCCGTGAAAGCTCATTTGTTATATTTGCTAGGCCCGGCCCAGGCCCGAGCACGGTTCGAATCGTGTCGTGCCTATTCGTGCTCTTGTCGTGCTCGTATTCGTGTCTAATGAAAAGGAAGAAAATAAAAGAGAGAATGGAAAAGAAGGTGAAAAATTGGACGGAGAAAGATAGTATTACCGAGAATGTTTGATAAAAGTAACAAATAAGGGGACAAGAAAATTGAAAGTATAGCGGGTATGATTGGCTTTGTTTAATTCTTCGTCCATTTTTACTTATGGTAGTAATTACGTATATATTTTTATGACACTTCTAACAACAACAAATAATTATTTTTCTACTTGTATTTTGTAATATTTGAACCTATAATTCTTTCTATATTTATTTTCTATCAAATTAATGTTATTTTAGTGCCATATCCGTTCTTATACTCAATAAAATCTCAAAAATATTAGGCCCAACACGACCCACTTATATATCGTGTAGTGCTTGTGCTCGTGCCCGTGAAGTTTAGGCCCGACACGGCCCATAAATTATTCGTGCTCGTGCCGGGCTGGCCCATTTATTTCGTGCCCGTGCTCGTGTCGTGTTATAACCATGTCGTGTCGTGCTAGCCCGTGGGCAGCCCGACCCGGTGCCCACGTACAGTCCCGTATACCCACCCTATTCCTCCTATGGTTAATCCTTGTGTTATTCCGGAGGGCAATGACCCAAAAGTAGCCGAGCTCATAGTTCCTGGTGAGGGAGGGTGGTGTCGTCAATCACTACAGCAGATGTGTTCCACCAGATGTAGCACGGACCATCATGGCAATTCCCTTGCCCTACCTAGGTATAGAGGATAGACTGGTATGGCATGATACATGTGATGGACTCTTCACTGTCAAGTCTGCTTACCACCTGGCTGTTTTGATGGATAAACAGGTGGGTTGCGGCGCCCCATGGTAAGTTGGATTGATAGGGCGAGCTGGGTGCGAATGTGGGAGCTTCAGATCCCGCCTAAGCTAAAATTGTTCTTATGTCAAATTTTCCACCGTATCCTGCCCACTACTGAATCTTTGATTGAGAAAAGGGTCCAGATTTTGCCTCGATGCCCGGTGTGTTGGGCAGAATCTGAAACGATGGAGCACCTCTTTTGGAAGTGCCCAATTGTTGTGGCTCTTTGGACTCATTCGGGATTGGAGCATCTGGGTCATGGTTTGCCTCGACAGACTTTCCCTCTGTTCCTTAAAAAGTGCTTACTTCGTATGACTCAGCGGGCTGAGATTATGGCTTTGGTGGCACTCATGTGGCGGATTTGAAAATCTAGAAACTGGGTTGCCTTTGAGGGCAAGTTGTTCTTGATTCCTCAACTGATGCGCCAATACCATCAGCAACTCCATGCATGGGTGTCTCTGCCAGAGGATAGACTGGCCCCGGATCGGCATCCTTTGCAACACAATCTGGAGGTGGTGGATTTGACTTCTGTCGTCTGTATGTGGGATGGGGCGGTTCGTGCTGACTCACATTCAGTGGGAGGATTGATCATAAAGGATGGAGGAGGGTCTGTGCTCTTAGCAAGATGAATGGTGTTTGAAGACGTTGTTGACCCTCTTGTGGTGGATACTATTGTCCTCCGTGAAGCTATTCAGTGGTGTCAGAATCTCGGCATCACTCAAGTTCGCTTTGAAGGTGATGCGAATGTGCTCATTGATAAGATTAATGTCATGGATGCGCAAGACAGTCGTGTTGGGGCTATTATCCAAGAGATTCTGCGGTTGATGGCGTTGAGTAGTGGCTTTAGTGTTCGATTCGTGGGTCAGATTAGCAATAGGGTAGTCCATTTAGTGGCTAGAAAGGCCCTTTCTTTGTCTCCGATTGCGTGTCGCTTGTATGATTTTCGTGCTTGGGTTGGGTCTAGAATGTAGTACGTGATCTTATTATCAATCAATATGATTATCTTTTGTTAAAATAAAAAAAAAGTGGTTGCTCTATTATAGTAAAAAGCCCTCCACTTGGTCACATACTGTGGGATAATCATTGAATGGCTTTAAGCCTCCACTGCTTTATGATTCAGTCTCTCACTTTGAATCCATCATCGAAAACCTTCCAATTCAAAGTCAAAGGCTACCCTAATTAAGAAAAACAAAAAGAACAATGTAGAGTCTTAAACCAGATTCCCTTTGCAAAATTCTAGCACTGACCCTCCGTCCATTACAAGAATTGATCATCCAACCACAGAAGTGTAACGACTCAAAGAGCTTAACGGCACTGCATCACCATCATCATCATCATTAGTTGATGGTACTGTTCATAGTTTGGTCCCAACCACAGAATGCAAAACTTCCAGTCCATGCCAATTCTCTCTTTGTAGTTTTCCAAGACCAGAAATGCACTCTCCGAGTAACACAAGACTTTCTTCCCCTCTTTGTTTCATCACCCTCTAAGGGTGGAGTGGTCCTGGCAACCCAAGATAACCCCACACACCACAGACAAAATGGGATATATATGGAATGGAAACTGGAAAGGGAAGATGCAATCAATAATCAACTAAAATTCCTACAAAAAAAAAAAAAAAAAAAAAAAGAATCAACTAAAACAGTAACAATGAAAATAATGGGCATAACAGAAACTGGAGTTTTGGTGAGATATGAAATGCTAAGGCCATCAGCAGATCATGTAAACTAGTTCGAGTCAGCTTCTGTCATGTTATTATAATAATCTATTCATCACAAACATTGAAAGAAGAAGAGGTTGCCATGCTTTGCATTCACTTGTACAGCAACTAGGTGACCACTGGCCAGGGAGAGAAAGATACAGAAATTTCGGCCTGTGAAACTACTCACGAAAGCTGGGAGAACTTTGTGATAGAACTTGGAAGAAAGATGGGAGGGTCCTTGAAACAAGGGTGGAAAAGGTGAAAACTTTTCACATCATATTCACATATTTGCTTTGCTGCTTTCCTAGTTTCTACAGCCAGAGACAAAAAAACAATCCTCACAATACAGATCTGTAGAAGGAGACAGCAGTTCTTTTTAGCTTCTGGCCCAGCTCTTTCTTTCCTTTCAGCTCCACTAAACACATCTAATCTATAATTCCAATCATTCCACTGAATCTGCTGCTCTCTGGACCGTAGTCTTAAACAAGAGGACATATAATTTGGAGTCCATTGAGAAATAGAGAAACCCACCAACAGAATGGGTCACAAAGGACCCAAAACTTGTCCCTACGATGCAATGCCATGCCGGACCATAAACACCATCAAACTCCTGCAGCAAGATGATGAAATGAAAGCAATCAGGACTATGCAAACAAAACCCAATCATTAACTGTCATAACTCTCACAAACCCACATGAAGAGAACAATCCCTCAGTCAATCAAGACATTCCAATTCTGTATGTGGAGATGTGATAGATGAGCAGTAGTAATTACCTTCTTGAGAGTGAGAGCTAGGGTCTTGGCAGCGAACTTCTCGAGACTATCACAAGTCTTCCTGGCACAATCAATGGCATGGATCTGCATAAATGGGGGCATATCAACTGATACAATCTTAGCACCGTTGCTTGCTAAGAAATCACCCAACTGCACTTGCGAGCCACTCAAGGATCTCCTTCTCTCCCCACCAACACCAAATGAGACCGACGATGACATCCTCTTAACATCATCAACCCCTTCAAGCAACAACAAATCCATTTCCTTCCTCATTTCCTTCTTCCCACTCTCATAATCATCAACATCATCATTCTTACTGCTGCTCTTCTTCTTGGTCTTCTCACTGACAACCAAAACTTTCTTCTTCTCCTCCACCACCACCAAACCCAAATCCAAATCCTGCTTCTTAACCCTCCCCTTGGGTAAAGCTTCTTGCTTTCCAACGACCCTTTTCAGGGTCTCCTTGTCACCTCTGCCATCACTGGGTCTCCTCTGTTGGGCGTAGTAGTACTTGGCTTTAGCGGCAGGGAACCTGGAAGAAGCTTCAAAATCAGCAGAAGCGGTCATGGCTCTGGCCTGCAAATGGGAATCTAGGCAAGGTGGGGTTGGGTTTTTGTTGCTGGATTGGTGGAAGTGAGATGGGTTTAGGAGTCTGGAAGACAAGTAATTGGACATAAAAGATGAACTAGTACTAGCATTGGGTTTCGCTGGAGGAGGATCTCTGCTGACGATCTTGGTGGTGGTGGTGGTGGGGCGGTGGGCTTTGGATGTTTGGGAAGTGGGATCCATGGCGGTGGTGGAAGGTTGGTGGTGGGTGGATTTGGATTTGGGTATGGGTATGGGTGGGGATGGGGGTTCTGGATGGGATGCGAGGATGCGACTGTGGTTTGTGCTGGTGGTGTGGTGTGCCATGCCTGCTTCTCTGAGAAAGACTGAAACTTTAGGGCGTCTGTGGAAAGTGGCTGCTTAGATTTCACAGCAGACTAGGGTGCTGGAGGCTGTTCCACTATGATATTGCTAGGTTTTGTTAGGAGAGGGAGCCGGTGAAGGAGGGGAGTTGAAGGCTCAATGGATTGGGGGGGACATGTGTAGTCTGTTGGGTGGGCGGTGGGGGAGATCTGGTTTTGTCTTCTTCCTAACATGCACACCATGCCACGGTATGGAAATTGGAACTTGGAATGGAGAGGCCGTACACCTTTGCCTCGCTCGCTTTGACCATTGACTCAGATCTAATTTGTGTTTCTGTTAATGCTTTAGTTTATGTACTCATGGATTAAAATTAAAGGATGAGCGGATCTAGTCAGTGAATCACAACGATAGTCGTTTAACTGGGGCGCTAAGTTTCAGGTAATTAAGAACCACACGGGCCACAACATAGATAATCTTGCTCCTTCAGTTGACGAATGACGACCAACCACAAATGTATTACACAAATGTATTAAAGGGAAATCATTCATTTACCAATAATCTCTCTTAGTAACTGACTATCCTTCCAAATGCCCCAAAAAAAGCAAGAATTGGCGGCAGATGATGATAGCTTACGGGTGGGCACTGGGCAAGGTTGTCAAACGGGTTTATGCCGGTACGTCGGTTTTATAAGTGAAATGGTTCTACCGTGGTACGACCAGTTTACATGTCGGTTTTTGCCGGTTTTAACAAAATTTCATCAATACAAATAAATACCTAAATTTAAATAATCCTTATGAAATCTAAAATATGTAAATATAAAATAATTCAATTCAACCCATTAATCTTTCCCCAAATTAAACTCTGGTCAGTAATTTCAATTGAACTTCAATTTCACTTATGAATTGGGAAAATCCCCATTCATTGCCCTAATTTACGGAATCCTTCGGCACTACTAATTTTCCATGGATGTGAATGTCCCTAATACCCGTTATCCCCTCTACCTACCAAAAGCAATTTCATTGCTTCATCGCCATCAACACATCACATTCAATTACAATCGGCAACCCTTCTCTTCTTCTCAACTCATTCGTTCATCCACCAGCTGTTTCCTTCCCCGTTAAGCACTAGAAACTGTCGAGCGCTGACCTTCGCCGCAAGCTTGTCTGACCAAGGCTTGTCGCCGATCTATTCGTCGGTGGGAGAAAGCGAGCAGGCAGAGCGCAGAGGAAAGAAGTGGAACGGAATATGCGACTGGTGGGGTGAATCCGACTTGCCCAAAACTGAATCCTATTTGTTTAACAATTCCAATTAGTGAAAAAATGAGTAAACGGTGCCGTAATAAATGGGAGACCGGAAATTAACCTTCTGGTTGAACCAGTGGTATTCCGGAAATTGACCGGTTTTGACCGGCATTGACTGGAATTGACTGTAGCATCATGCCGGTGGTATTCCAGCTGGTTTCATAACCGGTACCGGTTGAACCAGGTTCAACCGACCGACATACCACTGGCATGACAACCATGACCGCAACTCTGGCACCTTCGTAGGCGGCTCCCATTCTTGGATTGCCTTCACCTTCGCCCCATCCATCTTCAACTTGCCTCCACCGATGATGTGCCCCAAGAATGGAACCTCCGTGGCGGCAAAAGTGCACTTCTCCCTCTTGACGTACAACTCGTTGTCGCGAAGGACTTGGAAGACTTGGCATAGATGCTCGACATGCTCATCGAGTGTTTTGCTTCACACTACGATGTCATCCAAGTAGACCACGACAAACCGGTCCAAGAATGGCTCGAACATTTGATTCATCAAAGTGCAAAACGTGGTTGGTGCATTGGTGAGACCGAATGGCATCACAAGAAACTCATGAGAGCCATACCTCGTCACACAAGCCGTCTTTGGCTCGTCGCCCTCTGCTATCTGCACTTGATAGTAGCCCGAGCGAAGATCTAGCTTGGTGAACCATCTCGTATCTCCAAGCTGGTCGAACAAGTCGGCAATGTTGGGAATCGACCACTTATTCTTCACCGTCAACTTGTTGATGGCTCTATAGTCGATGCACATGCGCAACGACCCTTCATTCTTCTTTTGGAACAGCACCGGATCTCCAAAAGGTGACTTCGATGGCCGCATGTAGCCTGCGTCCAACAAGTCCTTGAGCTTCCTCCGCAAATCTTCTAACTCCGGTGGCGCCATGCGGTATGGTGCTCGCGAAGGGGGCTTCGCTCCTAGCTCCAACTCAATCTTGTGGTCCACCTCTCTTCTTGGTGGAAGCTTCTTGGAAACTCTGATGGCATCACGTCATCGAACTCTTCGAGGACACCTTCGATGATGGGAGTTGTGATTCCCGCCGAGCCTCGTTCTTCCTCCATTTTCAATGACACAAGAAAGGTTGGTTCATTTTTCTTGAACCCCTTCAATACCTGCATAGCGGATATATCACTATGGGGGCCATCTTCTCTCAAGAGATGGACCGCATGGAGCTCCCCTTCCTTCTCCAAGCACATCGTGTTGGAGTTGGGCTTCAAGAGCACTCCCTCCTTGTCGAGGAAGTTGATGCCGAGGATGACTGGGTGATCGTCCATGGTGACGACGGAAAAGTCGATGAGGCCTTCCCACTCGCAAAGCTTCACTTGCACGTTGTGAGCAACTCCATGGATCGGGATGGACTCCGAGTTGATCGTCTTGAGCCTCCCTTGCCCATTCTCGTAGGCAATACCCAGCCGGTTTGCCTCCTCGATGTGAAGGAAGTTGTCTGTGGCACCGGTATCCACCAAGGCTTTTGACTCGCCTTGCATGAATTGCGCTAGAACATATCACCTCCCACGCTTGCTCTCCTTGAGCTTACGGATTGAGCCAATCTTGGCCTTCGCCGCCTTGGGCTCTTCATCTTGAGCTTCCATGGCTGCCAACCTCGTCTTCCTAGGGCAATCTCGCACTCGATGGGGTTCATCGCAAAGGAAACAAGACACGGGTTTTGGTTCGTACTTACCCCCTTTGCTTAGGCCACCATGTTGTTGTTGAGTGCGAAGACCCTCCTTGAAAGGCTGCTGCGGTTCTCCACCCTTGTTGGGCTTTGAACTCTTCTCCTTGGTTCTGCTCTCTTGCCTTTTGTACTCTAGAAAACACTCCGTCGTGGCCATGGCAGTTGCAAGGTCTTGCACTCTTCGACGTTGCATCTCCATCTTGGCCCATGGTTGCAGCCCATCAAGAAAGTCGTGCATGGCCTCCTTGTCCGTGATGTCCGGGATCTCTAGAAGCAGATCCGAGAATTCCTTCACATATTCTCAAACTCCACCCCTCTGGGTGAGTCTTCTCAACTTCGAACGGGCTTCAAACTCCACGTTCTCTGGATAGAACTGCCTCTTGATTTATCTCTTGAAATCTTCCCACGTTACCATCACACATGTACCTCTTTCGACGTCTACTTCACGTCGCCTCCACCACACCATAGCAACATCAACCAAGTAGAGTGGAGCGGTACGAAGTTTAAACTCATCCTCTTGGATACCGGACGCCTTGAAGTACTGCTCAAGACTCCAAAGGAAGTTCTCTAACTCCCTCGCGTTCCTTGAACCTCCGAAGTTCTTCGGTCTTGGAACATCAGCACGTGGGACGGATTGCACCGGGGCTGGTCCGTTAGCCATGACTCTCTTCATGGAGGCGGTGATGGTGTCGTTGATGAGGGCCACAAGCTCTTCTCGTATGCCATCATGAACGATCTCCAAGCTCGAAAAATGAGCATTCATACCTTGAACATCACTTTGGACTTGGGCGAAGTTAGCTCCGAAATCCTCGATGGCAATGATATCTTCCGCCACCTTCACTTCCATTATAAAGACTCGCTTCTCTAGAGACTTGAGAGGATCATGAGTGCTCAACGTACCTTTTGACCTCGAGCGCGTTGTGGCATCTCTTCCATGTTTCTTCTCAGCTTCGGTAACGCCGCTATCTGATCCCGACATTTTTGGCGAGGCTTTTCCTCTTTGTTTGGCAATCTCTTCTTCTTTGCTAGCACAAAGCCGAACCGGGCTCTGATACCACTTGTCACGACCTTAGTCTCGATCGTGCGGTCCTAGCTCTCAATTCCGTTAGAGAACTAGGCAGCCTTCTCTCAAACTCACAAACAAGCAAAGAAAGCAAGAACAAAGCCAAAAAGATGGGAGAACTCTCTAGTGTGTATTACTCTAAAAAAATGATGGAATGAGTTACAAGTGAGGGAGATGACTCCTTATATAGGTCTCTTCTCATACAAGGCATCAATGCCCCTCATAATGTCCCTCTACATCAATACACCCATTAAGTCATCTCATACTGCACTCTAACAATGCCACCCATAATGTGGCTCATAAGTGCACCATTAAGCTCTCTATTAAGGTGGAGAATCCTAGGAGCATCTCTATGCTACTAGTCTTCCATACACGCCACATGTGCAGCTGCCATGTTGTCACCTTGTTGGCGCCATGTCATCTGCCACATGTGACAGTGCGGATAGAAGATTTATTGCTCTACAATTCACCCATATCAATCACTCATCCACAACCATTTGAGTTATTTACAGGTGAGTCGATAACAAACTGCGGATGACCCACCAACATACCCACCCTAAAATGGTTGAATATTAATTGTGAAGACATCGAGACGCCATCTAGTTGGGAATAAATAGTGGAAGCAGATGGGTGGGTGGGCTATTGAACCAATGTACTAAAGAGTAAGCTATTTAATTACTTAACTTCCTTTTTTGGTTTTAAAGCTTCACCGAATTATCACCTCCAAACTCTTCAACGGTATATACTTTTCGACCTTGATTTCTATTTTGTCAGTCTCCATGTTCAAAAGCTTACAAATGAGGATAAGGCAATCAGTTTCTATTAGTAGAGGTGAGAGACCTTGCTCCAAAGATTCTTGAACTCCCAACCAAAAGGTTTTCCCCTCGGCTATCTCCACCCCACATCTCTCCCTATGAATAGTTAGTAAGATAAGGTGAGGAAGTACGTATAAAATATGTATGCAAATTTTACTCTGTGTCTAAACTAAATCTACGTTTATTAGTATATCAATATTTATAAAAAAAAACATATCTCTGTTGCACATGTGGTTTCATACTGGGACTGCCCTTTCGTTGTAATCAGTTGGGTGAGGCTGTATTGGTCTCACTATTTTCGTTAATGGAAAGAATATGATTCAACGAGAAAATATTTATAAAATATATAATTAATTATTAATAATATGAAAAACACATTAGCGTATAATAATAGTTAAGTTAGCCATTTAATTTATTACATACGAGTATCATAAGTATTATATAGATTTATACGTGTTTAGTACGGGAACCATCAAATAGAAAAATGAAATGGCTTGATGATAATAAAGTTACAGAAGTTTTAAACGGATAATATGCATACGACTATATATGTTTATTAAATATATTATTTATTAACTATGCCTCCTAAGGAGGCAAAGTCAAGATTTTGGTTTGGAGAGGTGAAAAAACAATTACACATATTACTTTACTTATATAATATTTCCAAGATAAATATCTTTGAAGTTCTAATAAAAACATCTAAAAAGGAAAAAAAAATGTAATAAATTTTTTTGACTTTTTGTTTTGTTCAAAAATTCCCTTTTTTCCAGTAAAAATATTTTGAAAATGAGCGTGTTCCTACGCAACAATCAGGAATTTTTTACATTATCGAGCCGGAACAACCTACTCCTGTTGAACACTTTGATTGATCGCCAAATTTGATGTATCCTCGGTCGATCAGATGTAAGGTGGAATCACAATCACACGCAAAGAAGGAGAACAGAAATAGAAGGATCAAATTAGAGAAGAATAGGGCGAGATTTAGGGAGAACAAGAGAGAAACGAAAAGAGAGGTGTCGCGACACATAAGAAGGAAGAGGGGCTAGGTTTAGATGCCTTAGAGTTTTCTTATGGGTGCGTTTGGATAGCTGAATATGAAATACATGTATTTGAAATGCAAGTATCTGAAATGTATGCATTTGAAATACTTAGGATTTAAAATCCATTATTTGGATAGATGTGTATTTCAAATACATGATTTCAAATACCAATGATGTAAATTCTACCGTTTGGATATATAGTTGCAACTTTTAGGTATTTCAATTAATTATTTTTTAATTTGCTTTTTAATAGCACCAATACGTATAATGATCTCCTTAACCACTTCACTATACATATAGAAAGACAACTCTCCCCTTGCAATTCCAGACCTACTCTGTTACCCCCAATGACTACTGCAGAATGAAAAATTCCATATGAAACATGGCCAATGAAACAAAAAAGACTACTAGAGCTACTACTGAGAAAGTTAAGCTTGGCTACATATAATCCTCCTTCCAAATTCAGAACATAGCCTTTGAGTAATAGATGGATCTAGAAATGTCAATGATTCATCTAGCAAAAATGTGGGTCTTCAAAGTTTCAGGCTCTACAAAGCAAACCCAACTAAGGCTCACCAAGAATACACTCAACAAAGATTCTTCTATCTTCCTTTGGAATTTTCAGCAGCAACTTGAACTGCTCAGGATCACCACATCGATACTTCATCACAACTTTGGCAACCTCCATATGCGTCAACCCGGGTATCTCGCATATCACATCATAGATCTCTTTCCCTGTATACTTTGGTTCTTCTTCCTTCTTCTTACTTTTCAAGTAGCTACTTAATGAGTTAGCTACCATATACAATGCATCCCCAACTTGACTGTCCTTCTTAGCTCTCTTTCGCGATTCTAAACTAACTTCACCAATAGGCTTCTTCCCTGGAGATTTTGAGCCATGTGCACTCGAGTTGGCAAAAGTATACGCTGATCCGGCGTCCTCCATGTCATCTTCATCACCCATGGATGCATTAGCCTCTGAATAATGCTCTGCCCCATCTCCCACAGCTCTATCTTTGAACACAACAAGACTAAATCATCCCAATTTTCGATACATGTGTTCTCACAAGAACGTGCATCAGGGTGATCCTACAAAAACAAAAGCAACCTCAAATACATTATTTTTAACCCCACACAAATCGTTAAAATTTCCCTGCAAATGGTACCCTTTATTACCACCCCCACAAAGACATTATTTTAAACTAGTACTAGTTTAGTTCGTCCTTTAATACTCTTCTTATAAACACATTTGAAATTGCAGTTCAAGGACAAATAGACATCATGGATTAAAAGAAGCAAAGCAACCATAAGGAAACTACCAACCACCTAAACCACTATACAAAGAAACCACTACACAGGACACAAATTATGGAGGAACCTTCATAAACAAACTTTCAGGCCGGGGCTCTCATCTTAAAGAGCTAAAATACACCCCTGCCTCCTTGTACCATTTCCTTCTCCTTCTACTTAAATCTAACCATTAAAAGAAACCTACGCTTCAACTACCCAACTCCCATCACTATATATGAAAGTGGTGTCACAAATCACAATAGAGCATAAGAGGAAAAGAACCTTACATTGCAGTAAGATAGCCAATCACTCATATTACCAGCTGTAACTACGATCATCTTATTATCTTCATCCCACAAGTTCAATCCGTTTCGCTTTTGAACATCAGCTATCACTGTATAGCGTTTCGTCCATGCTCGAAGTCGGTTCTTGACATTATCTCTAGTCACATTGATTGCCAAGTCAGTGCGAAGTTGATCCACAACTGCTTGGTATGCTTGCGTCTTCTAGTCTCCATCACCCTTATTTCCTTGAACTATTTGATCCAGTAACACCCGACTTAAAATCTTCTCCATATGTGAATCCCATTGGCAATAAACACGAGATTTACTGGGTAAAATACTTCCCTGTCGCTTCATTCCTACAACAATAAGAACAAACAGGCAGATCACTTCAGCAGGCCACTCAAACAAATGAACCCTGAAACATAAACAGCTACTACACTTGGTCAAACTCTCCAAATAGAGAAACACAATAAATACCCTGACTATGAAATCCAGTACTGACAACCAACAAGAGTTTCAATCACTTTATACCTGATCAGTATTCAACAAACTTCATATAACATTGAGTTGACCATTGTAAGGGTCACATGTTACTAACATCAGTGTTCCTAAAACCTGACCAATAAGCGGCTATAAGTAACACATCATTAGTATCTATTGCTAGAATAAGGGGAAAAAACATAAGTACAAGCAAGCATACACCAGCAGTATAAAAATAGAGACAACAAATGTCATACAAAACCAATTGTCTGCTACAGAATTTGCAGCACTGTCTACTGCAAAATTTACTGCACTTGATTAAGGCTACAAACTGAGTAAACCAGCAGGGTACCAAACCATACAACATCAATTGTGAAGGTTCTTAAAAGGACCAGGAAACAAGAATCTAACACAAGAAAATCCAACCAAAGTTGCAGCACAAGAGAATAAATAAGTACGAGCAATGTTGATTTTGTTACTGAGACAAACAATAACTAAGAGCAATGCTGATTCCAGTTACAAGAGCAGATCTAACAGAAAATACAGAACTAACTTCGAGCTCTACGAGATCTACGAGCTAGAATTGCTTTATATTGTTCAAACATTTCCTTAGCTAAATTATCTCTAAATAAAGTCCACCCATCGGTTGCCCTCACTGCTGTGATTTCTTCTTCATCACAGTCATATTAATCGTTATCTAAAGCATCTTCCAACTGTTGATCTACTTCATCCAATAGTGCATCATGTGGACACTCATCACGAATGAAGTTGTGAAGGATACAACAAGCATTGATAATTCTGACTTGAGTTTTCACGTCATAAAAGCCAGCTGCACGCAAAATGCCCCATCTTTTCTTCAACAATCCAAATGCCCTTTCAACGTAACTTCTAGCTAAGAAATGCCTATGGTTAAATAACTCCCTATAGTTCTTAGGAGTGTTCCCTCGCCAAAGTTTTAAATGATATCGAGTCACCCTATAAGGAGCTAAGAAACCAGGCCCGTTGGCATATCCCCCATCCACAAGATAGTACTTATCTACAAATTTAATAAGAAAAAAAGAATCATTAAGTAATCTTTAATAGATAATACCCAAAGAACATTAGAAAGAGTTCACAGAAGCCTACTTTTAGGAACTTTAAGACCATTTTCACGTGATAGAGCATCACGCAACACTCGAGAATCTGAAGCTGATCCCTCCCAACCGGGCATAACATAAGTGAACCTCAGATTAGCATCACAAACAGTCAAAACATTTGTACTAATCTTGCCTTTCCCACTTCGATATCTAGACTCGTCTTCAGCGGATACTGTTAAAGGAAGAAAGATCTTGTCAAGTTCTCTAACTGCACCCTACAATATATCTTACTTTGAGTTTTTTAGAGTAAAAGGTAAGAACCAAAGTTGAATAGACATAAGTTAACTACCTGAAACCATTTCCATTTTTCAACATCTCCAGAGCTAAGAACTTGTGTGCTTTCTTTGACATAATCACTGTCGATATGTAAAACTGCTCGTAGCACCTCGTAAAAATGTCCACTAATAGTTTCCCCCGAACGGAGGAAAGTAGCTTTAATTGTTCTATTTCGCATGCAATGCGCTAAGGTTTGCAAAAAGAACGCAACCATTTCTGAAATAGACACATGTCTTGAAGCCACTAAACCACCCTTATTTTGCAAGTTGCGACACAATTTATCAAAAGCTTGTGGTTTGATGCGTAATTGCTCAACGTATATTGGTTGAGAAAGTAAAGTATCTAAATGATCTCTTCTACGAAAAAATCTACGCTCAAAATTTTTAGCATACGACTGATTTTTTGCAGGCGTAAAGAGTGAACTAATAAAAACAACCAGAAATACAATTACCAACACAATCAACTCCTCTTCTTCCTCTTTGTCATCTCTCTTACGTTTATACCTAACTATATCTCTCCTAGTTTCATCCATACTTTGTAAGATATGATCCAGATGAGGTTTGTTTTAGTTCTGCAAATCCACACATAAAGATTGCATAAGGGTTCAGTTTTAGGCGCAATGATAATTTACCGTAGAAAGTAAAAAGAAAACAGGTCAAACTGTAACTAAAAAGGAAGAACAAGAAAAACAATATATACAGATACACATACAATCTGGCAAGAAAGCAGTGATCAGATTACATTGGAGGGGGTATATGTTTGAGTACTACTACATTTGGCAGGGATATATGTTTGCTGCAGAGCCAAACACATCAAGTCTGGGGTTTCTCTAGCGTAGTCTTGACTTGAGACCTAGCTATAGCGTTCTGTAGCTATAGCAAATCAACAAAGAGGTAAAGAAGAAAAGCTACAGGGGGCATATTCTGTTGACTTGGTAAGTAACTCACATGGGAAAAATTCACCACAACAAGGAACCCAATAACCCAAATCCACTACCCAAACAACCAAAACTCATAAACCCATCAAAGTTATAACAAATAGTACAATGAGCAAGCAGCAAAATCGGCTATAACAGAACAACAAACTTTCAGCTCGCAAATTGAAGCCCAAGGTGAGAACACGATTGGGCTGGGACGATGGAAACTTTGTTTGCAGAAGCAAAACCAAATTCAACCTAGAGTACCAAGCAAATCGAAACATTCAACAATCTTTTACCTGGAGTTGCAAACAAATCAAAACAGTCAGGCAAGCTAGTGGTCGTCCATGGAGGGCAGTGACCCGATGGGTAAGATAAAAAGTTGATGGTCAGATCTGCACATAAGGGTTTGGATAATGAAAGATCAGTACTTGGAAGCTATATCAAAAGAGTAGCAAACAACTCCAAAGTATGGCTTACCTCCGAGATTCGAAGAACACGAAGAGGGGAAACGAGCAAATGGTTGTCGGTGGAGAGCAGACGAGTTGATGGTTGTGGATGGAGGGCGGTGGGCAGCGACGGTGGATAAGGAGGAGATTAATTGTTGTCCATGGAGGCCGAATCGAGTTAGGTTAAGGAGATAGAATTTCAATATGGAAGGCAAGATGCGGCGAACAAGATGATGGTTGTGACCTTCGCGGTGGTTTTCGATGGAGGGCAGACGAGGGTTGTCGATGGAGGGAAGTGGGCAGTACCAGGGATAGCTAATCCTTTTCCATGGAGGCCAAGATGGATCGAGTTAGGTTATGGAGATGGTGTTTTGGAAGGAAGAAAACAGCAATGAAGACGATGATTGTGGCTTTGCCTTCGCGTTGGATTTTCAAATCGGTACTGTTCAGGATGTATTTGAAATTCTTATTTTTACATGGGCCGAAATCCACCCTGCATTTGGCCGATATCCAAACACAAAACCCGCTGGGCTACCATACACTAAAATTTTGGATTTTAAAATTCAAATCCAAAATCCAAATACAAATCCAGCTATCCAAACCTACCCTTATTGCTCAATAATTGTCTACCCAGTCCCTTACTCAACTAGCCTTTAAATAGTCTATAATAGTTCCACAAAATACCCAAAACATCTCCAAAATAACAAATCAACACAATCCCAATTTAAGTGTCTAAGAAGCATAATGAAAAATACTTAGGTCTTATCAAAGTACCTGAGAAACACTATTTTCTTAGTAGCTTCTATTGTTTCGTAATCTTCTTCTCTAAGAGAGCACTTGACATGAGACCAAGGTTAGGAAGGGATATTGAGGCTGCAGAGGGAGGAGACACTATTTTCTCGGTAATTTGTCTCGTCGGCGTCGATGTTCTGACTGCCGCATTTTTTTTTGCATTCATGTTCTACTGTTCTTTGGAATTGGGTTCGTTGGTGTTTTCTCCTGCATGTATTTGCGTTCGAGTTTGATACATTGAGACTTGAGAGTGGCTTTCAAGATTACAGGACGAAAGGAGCACGTTGGAAGCTGAGGAGAGTGCAAGGAGCTTCCAGAAGACGGCAAAGGAACAAGAGGATGAGGAGTGACTGGAGGTGGCAGCACACTCACTGCAGCAAATGCACCGGCAATAGCCGACCCAAGCCCCGCTTGTCGTCGAGAGGGTTTCTGAGCTGAGGTCGACCAAGATGGAGCAGAAGCGCTGAGATGTACGTTACTTCAACTACAATGAGAAGTATATATATATATATGCTGGGGCACTTGTGTGTCAATTATCATTTGATGTTTTCTGGTTGGTAACCTGGAGGATGAAGCTGATGAAATGATAATTGAGTATGGCAAGCCTAACAAGAAAGGAGTGGGGCAACCTTGAGGACAAGGTTGACCTTAACTATTTTTGTCTTTATTAACTAATTAGACCATTTTATCGATTTTATTATGTTTTCAAATTTTGAATGCAATGGGGGTTTAGAGTTGTTTAAACTAGGGTTGTTCAAATGGAGTGGTTATCATGGTAACCATTTTAATCGGTAGTATTTGGATAATTTGGTTTGGCTAATTTGGATAATTGGTTTGCTTTGATTAAACTTTTTAGCTTGTTTGGTTTAGGTGGTTTGGTTTTAGACACTCCTAACTATTCAAACCAAATTAACCAGTTAAGTAATTAGCCATGTATCTAATATATAATTTGCACGACTAATTTTGATAATAAAAAATCATACATTATGTTGTATGAAAACTTGAAAGAAATGTCTTTTTCAACCTATGATAATTGCTAAGAGACTAAGTCAATTCACATTGATACAACAATTTATTAACCTCATACCATTGACATATATTTTTGTTCGGTGAATACTTCTATTGACT